AATTTTCTGAGATTGTGGATTTGGGGTTTTCATGAGCTGTAAGCCATAATCATCACAGTTATGACACATCACGGCTTGAACTATCTTGCTTTGCATGTAATGAGTCTATCTCATATATTAGGTTCACCTTTTAAGTTGCATTACTGAAATAAATGAACTTTTGCACGATATTCTAATTTTTCGAGTTTCACCTGTATTTCTTGAATGTTTTAATATGTTCCTGATATTGGCTTGATGTACTATTATGAATTTAACTTTTGTAAAAAGATTAGATTTGTTTTCAAATGATGTAAAACAGCTTGAAATAAATTAAATAGCCTGCAAGAAAATGAGGGCCAGGGTAAAAGAAAATGCTATGAGCAAGCAGCTTTGTTGCAAATTGTGGCTTCTTGCTCTAGCACACCACAATTTACTTCCCTAATTTAATGATAATACCCCAATCTTGACTGGCCAAGACCAACACCTAAGTTAATATTTTTTACCCACATACCTTAGTGTTTGCTGCCAAACAAACAGCATACTCAGTGGAGACTGCGTCACTTGGGTAAAACACAGTACAACCTGGAATAGTTCTGAACATGGCTAGATCTTCCAAAGCCATCTGAGAGGGCCCATCCTCTCCTGGGATGAAGAAGCAGTTGAATAAATTGCTTGCCATGTCACAGAAAAGAATGCATTCAAAAACTATACCATGTATTTGAGAGTATGAATACCCCAACTATGCCTCCCAATATTAGGCCTCTGAGATTTAGCATATAATTGCTTAATTCAGTCTTTTATGAAAACTACAGAAGGCCAATCACATTATTTACAAATCAAAATCTCTCTTTCAGGTTGAGCTAGCTGAGTTCAGGCATTTGGTATTCTGGGTAGATGAACAGCAAAGAGAATAAAGCAGAAATCCCAAAACACTCTGTGAGCACTCCATCTTAAACAATTTCTGCTTTCCCTATATCTTAGACTATTAACATTAAACCTTAACTATTATCATTAAATTGAGTTATTAATAATAACCAGTCTTTACTTCTGGTGTACAGCTAGCATAAACATAAAAGTAGATTTTTCCTAGGATTAACATGTTGTATTTGGACTACTAAAGCCAACATTCCTTTAGAACACAGCATTCTGCCCAAGCAGCTGATTCCCAAATATGTGTGTTCAAGATCACTGAATGGAAGAAAAACCAAATGAATTGAGAAAAAGTCAAGATTCGTCGCTATATCGTACTCTTGATTTTCGGTTAATAACAATGTTCTATTTTTAAATATCTCTATCAACTGCAGGCTATGTAAATAAACAGGAAAGTGCCAGCATTATCATCATAGTGAAGAAGACTATAAAGATTTATGTTCAAATTCCCATTTAGTCAAGAAGCTTACTAGATGACTTTGAGTCAAGTTATTTTCTTTCAGCCTATCTTATAGTATAGGATTGCTGTAATGACAAACAGGAAAGAGAAAAAATTGTGATGGTCCTCATCCTGCTGGAGAAATAAGAAGTTTTAAGTCTAATTAAAATAATTAGAGGAATTTAGATGTAAGGCAGCACATACCTATAGAAACCCCACTGTGTGACCCACAAAGCTTAATATTTGATTGTGAGATAGCAGCCATCCGGATATGGTCAAATGCTCGAGTGAAAAAGGCAGCAAAGGTGCTGGCAAATGCAATGGTGCGGTTCCTAGCAGCACAGCCCAGAGCAACACTCACCTACAGCACATAGACAAACACAAAAATGTCATCGGGATGGATTATGCCACAAGATTCACCAATCCATTTCATATTTTCAGACTCACCATGTTCTGCTCAGCAATGTAACACTCTATATAGCGTTCTGGATGGGCCTGCTTGAAAAGCTCAGCAAAAGTGGAGTTTTTTGTGTCACCATCCAAAACAACCACATGCTTGTCAGTCTTTCCCAGTTTTACCAGGGCTAAACCATAGGCTTTGCGGGTAGCCACCTGACAAAAAAAGAAAATCCCATCACAATCCATTGCAGGTCATTTAATTTACCACCAAGTCAAAAGGATGATCTAAGCACATTTGATAAACATTACATTTCTACAAACATCTTCAATCTTCTTATCATATGCCTAGACACAAATTGGTAAAAACTCTATTTTATCTAGGAAAAACTTCCAAGAAGTCACTGTATGAAAAGCAGTGAAGGATTGACATTAGAATACAGGCATTTTACTCCTGTACTAGGAGAGGGGTGAAAGGGAGAAAAAACATTATATTAAAATGTATACAGTATATCGAAATTGTCCAAATTGAGGCTCAGGGTTGCATGTAGTCCTCAAAAACTTTGGGTATGCCTCCAGGATCCCCTACACTGATCCTTTTAATCTTTACATAAAAGCAGGAAATTATTGCAAATATGGAAAATAATAATCAAAGTACTTTTATTTAATTAAAGCCCATTTTTGTCCAGATCCCATCTATTTTATTCCAACTCTATTTCTGTGTGTGTGCCCCTGGTTAAATGTAGTCCCTATTCCAAAAATGAATGCAAATCCTGATCTAAGATATGCTATCATTTTCCAAATTAACATACTAATTTGCCTTTTATTTTCATGCATAAAGCTTACTTAATTCACGTACTATTCTGGGTCCTTGGCAGGGTTTCTCTATGGGATAAGGGGTACTATCAAACTGGATTTGAGGACAAAAAGAAAGATATCTCAAAGGTTAGGAAGGTGGAATGCGACAGAAAGAGAAAAGTCCATTTCAGCTCAAAGTCCAAATTAACACTGAAGATGCATGTTATGAAAATGTCAGCTACAGTATATGTGAGCAATAAATAAGGTGAATAGAACATTCTTATGGATTTTACTCCTTTAGCCTTTTCTTATGGGTATAGGGAGAAAAAGAAAGTTGGTAAATTTTCCACTTAAAAAAATTAAATCTGGAATTTGTGAGTGCTCTGCATCAGATCCATGTCACGCAGACCTTTTGATAAAGATGCATGGTACAAAAAGGGCAGAAGAACAATAGTTAGAGTATTTGGAAGTACTGAAAGAAAAATCTGCCCAGCCCATGCAGTACCTTTTCTCCTATATTATAGGTAGGTAAAGAAGGCATTCTGATATCCACAATATTGATTGGTGGCACATCTTGAGCAGGTGGCTGGATAGTACAAACATCACTAGTCTGGATTTGACTCTGAATAGTAGAGATAATAGATTCCACTTTGTCTTTTGGAATGGGCTTTCCATGCCAATTGTCAGTATTCTCCACACCTAAAACAGAGAATATTAGTTAGTGACATTCAAGGATTCTTATTACCTTTTCCCATCCCCATGATTCAGAGACTTCTTTCACCTGGGATTCCTCGTCCTTTGAAAGTCTTGGCCACAATCATGGTGGGCTTCCCCTTTTGTTGACTTGCTTGCCATAAAGCCTGGCATAGTTCCTCCATATCATGACCATCCACAACACAGGTATTCCATCTAGCAGAAGAGGAAAAGGTTGGGGCAAAAAGCAGCAAGCTTTCTACTAGAATTAGGATAAAAACAGCCAGCAATGCTTACCCAAAGGCTTCACAGCGCTTATGATAAACATCTGTATCATGGCCCAGTGGTGCTGCTTCACTTTGTCCCAGCCGGTTCACATCAATAATGGCCACTAGATTATCCAATTGATAGTGAGACCCAAATTGTAGGGCTTCCCATACTGATCCCTCAGAGGATTCACCATCACCCAGTAGGCAGTAAACTCGGTAACTAGAAGACAGCAAGACACAAGAGTCCCAACAAGCATGTATGTGTGTGTGTGTGTGTGTGTGTGTGTGTGTGTAGGATAAGTTTATTTCACTATACATTCTTTGCCATTCTCTGACCCAGTGGACATTACAGTAGAGCAAACAAACAAACAAAAAGAGGCCAGAAACATCTTGTGAAAGAAGCAACAGGCTTCATTGTATAGAGTAACCAGGGGTGTCAAACTGCCGGCCCGTGGGCCGGATGTGTCATAGCAAAACCACACCCACCTCATTGCTGGCAGTGGGAAAAAAGTCGTGATACATCACGACATGTCACATGATGTTGCGAGTTTGACACCCCCTAGTGTGCCAGATTTCTCACCTGGTTTTATCAAAGTATTTTCCTGTATAGGCCATTCCACAGGCAGCTCCCAGACCCTGCCCCAAGGAACCAGTGGCCACATCCACAAAAGGAAGTCTCTGTTAAGCAAAAAGAAAAGAGTTCTACAAACAGAATAAATACTGACACAATCTGTTGGGTATTTCGTTGAAAACAGTCTTTATGAAATCTGTTCTGGACAGAGACAAAATTTGGATCTTTTCCAATATAAATATATAAATACACACCTCATTTTAGTGCCTTTGTATTTCAACAAAATATATTCCAGTTTGGAATTCTATCATAAAATCCCAGTTTTACCATACATATGTTTAATATTAATTTGCACAGTAGAACAAGGCCAATTTTATGGGCTAAGTTTCTGCATCGGTGATCCACAACAGCACATGTGGAAACCATTACTTCTGTCACAGCTTTCAAATTTCAGATGTCTCCATGAAAGAAGCAACAGTACTATTGTTACATCCTAAAAAGCTGATCTTGTAGAACTAATTTTTAAAACTATTTACCACTATCTAAGATTTATGTATGTATGTATGTATGTATGTATGAATGTATAATTTTTGACTTGACAGGTCAAGTTAATTTTTTCAAAGCTCCCCAAAATTCCCAGCATTATTCTCAGAAGAGTACTTACAGGAGTCGGGTGACCTTCCAGGTCAGAGTCTATTTTCCTCAAATTTAACAGCTCAGGCTCCTTGATAAAACCAGCTTCTGCCCATGCAGCGTAGAGTATAGGCGCAGCATGACCCTGCAAGGAGCAAACAAAGTAGCCATCGCAACCATGAAATAGTAATCTCTCTAGTTTTTAAGACGATTACTCTGGGATGTGGTGCTGCAGAAAGAACTGAGTTGAACTCTCAGCTAGGAAGAAATAAGCTATGGTCTTACTTGAGCATTATAATCCAAGTCCCATCCTCCAAAGACCACCTCCCCCATATTCCTCCTCTCACCTTTGAGAGCACAAAGCGGTCGTTGCTGGGGTGGCCTGGTTCATTTGGCCTGTAGCGCATGGTATGAAAGAACAACACAGACATGATCTCTGCTGCACTGCAACATGATGTTGGGTGTCTGCAAGGTCAAAAGGCAGAGAGACAAAAATTCAATAGGAGCTACCCACAGAGAGATACAAAATTGCTATTAGAGTTAAATTTACAATTCAGAGCATAAGTTCAGTTAAAAGACAACCCCCCCCCCGTGACTTCTGTGTTCACCAGAAGCAATAAAAACTCTATACTGATAGCCTCACAACATCACCCATAGATTGAGGAGGACTAGTTAATGAGAATACAGTAGCTCATGAACTTCAAGTAAAGCTATAGAAAGGAGCTATTCAAATTAATGGATTTCTGAAAACTAATTAAGAACATTTCTTGCCTTCACCATCTCAATTGGCAGAAACCTCTAATTAGCCCTGCTGAGACTGGAACCCAATAAAACCTTCATCGCCTCCTCCCCGCAAGCGAACCTAGAGAGGAGGGTAATATACTGTACCAGGAAACGTTCCCATGATCACATTTAGATGTAAGAAACAAAAAAGAAAATACAATCCCCGGCGCAGGAAAATGGTGGGAATATCACAAGCTCCATCAGAAAATAAAGAGAGTGAAATGCATTCCTTCTCTTCGATTACCCGGAGTTCGAAGCGCAAGTTGCCCGAATAGAGTGAATCCGAAGGCGACTAGCAATATCTCGTAGGTTTTGCAGAGTTTTCTCCTTCGGCTTAAGGTAGCTGCTGGCCATGATGAAGCTCCTACTATCCAGATGCGCTAAGCACGCTTTGCTCTTTTTTCTCCGGCTGGCCGGCGCTCCGCCTGCAAGAGGAAGTGAGCTCAGAGGCTGGGGAAATTGGCGAGGAGTGGGGTTTGCGTCGGTCACCCCATGCGTAAAGCAATTGCTACATTGCCAGGCCTGTGGGCGTGCTAGAACATCAGTTACAATTGGGCAGTTTCTCTTCACTTGATACTCGGCCAGTTTCTGCCCTCCGCTTTCTGGAGTCGGCCGGTGCTCTAAACCCTCTGAAATCCAGCACTAATGTTTGTGTGAGCCGTGGCGTTGTGGGGCTCTGAACCCTCGCGGAGGGAGGGGAGCGAATGAACGAGGAGTGAATTGGGTGTCGTACAGACCGAGAATCTTGTTCTGACGACACTACAACATTAGAATGTGACTGAAGAAAGCAGCTTTTTCAGGGTGCTTCCAGGATCCATACTTTTTACTACTTGTGCTCGGAAATTGAAGAAATGTTTTCCTTCTGTATAAAACCTCACAACAGGACATCGGAGAAGTGCTGCTTTGACAGGCTGGTTTCTGATGAACACCTTTTAAAAAAGATGTTTGTATGCAGGAGAAAATCATTTCCCCATTTGTGACACTGCAGGAAAGCATTCTTTCCCCTCTCAGTACTGACTCTATACATTAAAATCCTACCTACAACTTGGGGAATAATTCTTGCTGAGCTCAATACCGAAATGCAATATTCACCCAATCAAACTGCAAACTTCAGCCTGTCCAGAAACATCAGGCAGCCTGGAATGTGGTGAACATCCTCTCTGGAAGTAGTCTATGTGTAGCCTTGCAGGTTTGGCATTGCAGGAGAGGAAATGTGTCACTGGCAGCTAGCCCAGAGTGTCTGTTTGCCAAGAGACTGACAGACAGTTGCAAGGGTTGACAGCATGCTTGGACAAAGTGCTTGGCCTCAAGTTTGTTTGTATGCCATCCTAGTTTTTAGATAGGAGGAGAGAGAAAAGAAAGAATATATCACTCTGTCTTGTGCCATAAATGCAGCATTCCCTTTCAAGTTAGAATATAGGAGAAATATAATTATATAATTATAATTATAAGTATAATTTGCTAAACACATGCACCTTTATTTGTTCCATTGACTACTAAAGTGGACCCTGTCTTGAGACAAATTGAGTAAGCTACCTTGGAGGAAGTATTGGGATTCATTGGTTGTGATTGTGCCCTACACTGAATTGCAAACTAGTCAGCCACATCATAGCTTGCTGCAGATCCAGCACATATGGTTAGATTATAGCTCTCTTTGACATCAAACCATTATTAGTAGTAATATTTTATGCCATTACAGACATTTAAGAACATAGAAGGGTCTGAAAGTCCTGGGCAAGCCACAGCTGAAAGAGCAAAAGCCATGAAAGAGCCTCCCCCCCTCCCCAAGCCCACTATGCTCTTTTACAGGTTGTATTAATTTTAGTGTCTTTCTGCATAAGGCATCAAAATGTCCTGAACTATCTTTGCTTCTGCCAGTAGGAGCTAGATTTGTGTAACGATCCTCTCAGTCTTCTAAAATGTTTCTGCCTTCATGTCAAGGGACCAAGCACATCATGGATCCTTTTTTATTTTCATGGCTGTTGAAAAGCAATAAAGATTAGAAGGTGAAGCAATCATGGAGATAATCTCATATGACAACAGTGATTGTAGGTCCTTTATTATAAACAGTCATTATATGTCCTTTATTGTTATGTGTCCTTTATTTCAAAGAATTGTTCTTTAGATTTATTTAATATAATTATTTATGTGGTTTTACTGTGGAATTTTCCTTTGTAAAACAATTATATACATGTTTATACTTATAGACTTCTGCCCTTTTTAAATGTGTCCTCCCCCCCCCACAAAAAAATATGATCATTGTAAGTATAACCTCCTACTCTGTTCAAGATTTGGAATGCATGATGCAGGTACAGCACTTGCAAGACAAATTAATTCAGCCCCTGATTAATTTAATATAAAATTAACAATAACAATAGGTGGATAAAAATGCCAAATGAAGTCTAAACATCTGGCTGACTGCAACGAACCATAATATTAGTCTAATAGTGGATGTGGCAGTACCTGACAATGGCAGAATAAAAGAGAAAGAACTGGAGAAAATCACAAAATACAAAGACTTGCAAATAGAAATAAAGTGACTGTGGCAAAAGAAAGCAAAGGTATTACTACTACTACTAAGCTCCTTGGGTGCAATCTGAAAACAACTGGAACATCACTTTAGCACCATTGGCATTAATAAAATCTCCACCAGTCAATTGCAAAAGTCAGCTTTACTTGGAACAACTTACATCCAGTCTAAACATCTGTCTGATTGTGTGATAAACTGTACTATTAATAACAGATAGAAAGGTGGGTGGAGAAAGACTCCATATGTGCCTATTACCCTATGCCAGGGGTAGGCAACTTTGGCTCTTTTATGACTCGTGGACTAGCTGGCTCAGGAATTCTGGAAATCCACGAGTCATAAAAGAGCCAAGGTTGCCTACCCCTGCCCTATGCTTAGATATAAACTCCTTTAGGAGTAGTAGATTATATTGTATACTCATCTTATACCAGACATGTCAAACACAAGGCCCGGGGGCCGGATGCGGCCCACGAAGTGGTTTCATGTGGCCCGCGAAGCCATCCTGGAAACAGTGAGGGAATGGCCCCTGCTGCCTTGGCCCTGGGCCAGGCCGACCGGGAGCCAATATACAATTTTGTGGTGGCCATCTATGCTGAAACACATTGTCTTAGCTCCACAAGGCCGTCTAGAAACAGCGAGGAACCAGCCCCTGCTGTGTCGGTCCCGCCCCCTGGGTGCATGCTGGGGAGGTGTCATCCTTTGTGAGGAATGAAGAAATGGACCATGCCTTGAGGCTTTCCCCGGTCCCACCATCTTCTGCCAGAGACCCTCAGATCTGTCCCACTCCTGCCCAGGCCCCCACAGGCACCCTTGACGCCAACGATGTAGAGCTGGCCATGCCCACCCAGTAGGCCACACCCACTCCCTCTACGCCCACCCAGTAGGCCGCACTCACCCTGGCCACACCCACCTGGCCCCCCCGAGGGCAACCGCAATGCTGATGCGGCCCTCAATGAAATTGAGTTTGACACCCCTGTCTTATACAATGTACTAAATCATAACAAAATTACGTTCACAGAAGACATTGAGTTAGATAACTAAGATTATAAATTGGAAGCATGTTTAATAGTAAAGCTCACTGTCTGATTATTCTGCAAAGATCCATGTAGTTGTCTTATCAACAATATGGAAATAATTTGGGAATGCTTTCTTCCATGATATTTCTTTAGGTCCCAGTCTATCCTATTACCCAAAGTTTCCTGATGATATTCCATCCAAGTACTAAAAGGGTTGATTGTGCTTCCTGTTTCTCAAGATCATCTGAGATTGGCTGGTGTTGCCACCTGCATTCTACTTATTGAAAAATGGCTACATGTGATGGCATGTGCAGCTGGAGAAGTGGCAGAAAATCTCGGCAATCTACTGTAATAACAATTTCCCAGGGTGGAGGCAACACATTTCAGAGAGAGAAGCCCAAAATAGGAGATTGTGGTGATGGAGGGAGGAAAAGGTTCAAAGTATCCATATCCTAGAATCTTCCAGGTTTTATATATGTTAAGTTAGAAGGTTATTTGTTTGTTTATTTATTTATTTATTTATTTAACTTGGATGCCACATATCTCATTGTTGAATTACTCTGGGCAGCTTATAACATCATAAAAACAAGAATATAAAAATTAAAAAGTTAAAAACATGAAACATTAAGAAACATTGGGTAAACTAGGAATCAGTATGCAAATGGGGTGGAGTGGGATCCACTAACCACCTTCAGCATGGAATGCCCCCATTGCGGCCCCAAGCCAATTGGCAGAGGCAGGTTTTGATGTCAGGCACAAATAACCAGGAATATTTGTTGAGTTCAAAGCTAAAGAAGAATTTATTATTGCTACCTATACACAAGGATCTAATCAACTAATGGTTAAAGCTAAATTGGTGCTAGATAAGGTCAACAGAATTCATGGCAGGCTGCACTTGGATCTCTGGGCCAACAAAATAATTCTAAACTGATGACACTTTTAATTCTGCCTTCCAGCTCAGCTTGCTCTTTTGCTACATCGAGGCCCTTTCAGAAGACCAAGTGGGTGGGGGGCAAATTGTGTTAGTCTGGCAAGATTATGTCTATTAGGTGTAAGCAAATAAAGAATTGGATTCGATCGGATTTCACTATGGGCTTAGTCTTGACATTACCTGAGGAGAAAACATTATTTTTAGTGCCATCTTTGATTCCAGATTGGGCAACAGCTTTGTCAGATAACATTTTAAGTACAGTCTCTTCCTTAAACTTATATTTAGTTCTTTGATCTTTCTAGATTGAGTGACAGCATCTGCCTGCCATCTTTGTTTGAACTCTGGTCATATAACTTAGTTGGTCACTTTTGCAAATACAATTCAAGTGCTGGTTCTTCCCTTTTCACATCCACCAACATATAGGTTTCCACATAAATGATTGATTGAGCTTATATGTTGCTCCAATAATAGTCAATTCTTGAGCAGCTTCCATACATTCCACATTCAAGAATAAATAAGTCAGAACAATCAACCAAAGCCAGGTAGTCCTTGGTTAACAACAGCGGAAGGGAGCAGAATTTCCATTGCAACATGGTGGTAAAGTGTGATGTCATGTGAGCATGCTGCTTAATGATGGTAATTCTGGACTTCCAGGTTGCTGTTATTAAGCAAATCCTGCTACATCATTAAGTGCAACATCGTGTGGTCACCATTTGCTACCTCCTGCCAGCTTCCCCATTGATTTTGTTTGTCCAGCTCCCCAGTGACTGTGAGATGCTGCAATGTCATGATTGTGAGCCAGTTGCCATATGTCAGCTCACAATTGTGTGACTGCAGGGATGCTGCAAAGGCCAGAATTTTGAGGACCAGATGTAAGTACAAATTGTTCAGCAACTTTGTAAGTTCAAAGTGTTGCTGAATGAGTGGTCACTAAGCAGTACAAACTATACAATTATATGTCAGTGCACAATTGCAACATTAAATAAATACTGCACAGTGTAATCTGGTTTTGGGTTGCAGTTGGTTTATACCAGCTTTGTACTACAAGAGGGAACTTCCTTAAAATAGATCCACTGCCTTAGGACAGTCAGATTTTAACTGCCTTCCAAAAAACAGCAGCATCGGGACCATACAAGACTATACAGATGAGGTAAATGAGGGACAGAGGGCAGCATTTGACAAGGACCACTTTGTGGAACCTGCTGATGGGATTCCCTGTGAAATGAAACCTGAAAGAACTAATTCTTCCTGATATTTTGTGAGGAAATATAATTGGGAGTATGCAGTCCCAAAGATACTTAGCTCTTAAATCACGTAGGGCTTTTAAAATGAGAGCCAGCATCTTGAATTGCAGTTGGAAGCCACTTGGTAAACATTACATCTCAGAGAGGAAGTGTGATATGAGTAAACTGAGATACACATCTGATTACTTCAGGCTGCTATATTCTTGGAGAAGCCGCATCCAACTATCTTTAAGGATAGCATAATGGGGAACACATTGCAGTTACTTGCAGATTATAATATGTGCCTCATTCACTCAGAAGGAGGTCTATTGTAAGAGCAGTTGGGATAGTTATTTCAGGCAGGGGTTTTGGGGCAGTAGCAAGTGTAATTAAATGAAGATATTCTTTGTATTTAGTTAATTTAAAAAACCTTTAAAAAGGGAGATGAAATTCATAAAGGTTACCTCTTAACTCATTTTTCAGTAGGCTAGAGGAAGTTACAATTGTATTTATTTCTTTGCTAGTCAAATTTGTATAGCTGTCTCAATCTCACCAAAAGCAACTTGGGCCAACCTACAACAATCAAATAAAACAACAAATATAAAAACATAAGGTCACAAATTAATGTTACTTTTGTGCTCTTGTCTATTTCCATACAGCATTCATGGTAGACTATAATTTAACCAAAGGAGAACCTTCCCAGCAGTCAGAAGCTTCAACAAGTCAAGCTCCCAATTCAGTGAGTGACCAATAAAACATTTTATTTAGCACATGGCTCTTTTGTAGAGACTCTGAATCACAAACTATAACACTCTAGATCACAATTTGATTGGAGCATAAGATGTTGAGCAAACCCATCCTATGTATAACATATCAGATGAACTCAAAAGTTGGATTACTTTGGTAAACTATGGGTAAATAAATATTTCTAAGTTTGAACACAGTCTATCACTATGTAATGAGATTCCAAGCAGTAATGGCAGCTGAATGATACATGATGTCACTGCAGTGTTCTAATGATAGGGAATTTTCTGTGCAAGGGTACTTTTCCAAAACAGAGCAGAAGATAGGGCAAAATATAAGAAACACTAGTATTTTTGCACCTTACTACCCACAGTCAAATAGGACCAAAGTGGAATGTCATCCCTATTATAATCACACCTTGTCATCTCACCTCAAATCCAAGAAGGCATTTCAAAAGGTTTTTGACTACTTCCTTGCCTCCCAAGAACAGCAGTGCCTACAATCCCTCCATGCCTTTTCTCTTTTTTAAGGGATGCTTTAAGAAACAGGGTAGTTGAGATAAATGGGAAGTTCACCAGAAAACTGAAGAGGCAGCCAGCTGCTGAACATCTCTCTGACACTGCCACCTTGGTTTCCCCAATAAAGAAATGACAGATTTTAAATTAAACGTATGTGTGCTTGTACATGCTGAGATATACTGAGGAATCAGTGCCTAAATCCACTAGTAAAGCAAGAGAGGCAGTCAGGTTGGAAGAAAATGAACAAGATTTAAAATATAATTCTATTAGTAATTTTGCTTAATTTGAATTAAGGGGACAGCAAGAACTAGCACTGAATATTTGGAGTTATAAAATTGCCATAGTTTTGCCTGGAAAGAGAGTTATTGGACAGTTATCTATTATTCAGCAACCCTGTTCTTCTCACAATCTCCAAATGATAGCACTCCATCTTGCTTTACAAAAAGAGAAACTGTCTTAGATGAAAGCAGAGCAGATAATATGGGAGTAAATACAAAATAGACAGTATAAGGCTTAACATTCTGGGATCACTCAAGATAAGTACATTGTTAGCTTCCTAATGTAAAATATGACAATTCTGAGATAACCTAAACTGGTATACTTTTCTCTAATACTCTTGACTTCCTGCTCCATCCTTGTGGCAGGTGGACTCCAGTCGGAATCGCAGGTCCTCTGTTGCTTCTGGATCTTCCCAGTCAAGTTATCGAAGTCCGAAAGATGCTCTACGCCATCGCATATTGCACTTGTCTGAATTGCTGCGGGTAGAGAAGGTCAATCGTGATGAGAACCTCTCCACTTATGTGGAACTGGTAAGCAAGGCTGATCGGGAAAAGGCACCCTCCATCCGTCAAGCATTTGAACGTATCAACCAACGCTCCTCGGCTAATATTGCTCATCTCGAACAGCGTCTGCAGGATTGCATAGCCCAACTGAAGAGATTAGAACAGAAGATTTTCTCACCTGCAGACAGCAGTTCCTCTCCCCCACCCCAAACCCTCAAGGTCAATGTGACCCATCAAGGGCCATATAACATATTCAAGTTCCGCCCTACAGAAGCTCCTCTAATAGAAGAATACTCCATCCAAGAAAGTGCAGAAAATGAGTCTATCACAGAGGGAGGCTCAAAGCAGTATCTTGAAGAGGAGGTAAAAAAGAAGCTTCAGGACCTGAGGAACCAGATCACGGAGCTAAAAGAATATCACAAAGCCCTGGACAATCAGAGGAACATGTTAGATGAAACTTGGAAAGCTGATAAAAAGCAAATTATGGAACTCCTACAGGAGGAAAAGAAAAGGTGTGCATCCACATTCTTGAGAACAATAGTTCCCAGTATTCCATCTCCTTGACGTTGCAGGCTTGATGTCCCTGGTGTCCTGTTTCCTCCTGACACTCATTCTCTTAGAACATCACAGCTTTGTCTTCAGTGACAAATCCACTATTTCTTTCCTGCATATGAAGCTATTTGCCTCATATGCAACCCTCACACAAAAAAGCAAACATTTTCCCCCCATTGCGTTACTAATGTAGTATCACAATACAGACTATAACTTGCCTATTTCTTCTGATCTTCTCCATGCTTTATTAACATTATTCAGAAACTTCCTGCTTTCCTTGTAATATGAAAAGTGCATAGCCACAATCTCCTTAGCCAGGAGGAATGTTGCAATTTCTTTTTATTAGAAAAAGATCCATCTTGTATGCAGAAGCATACAGAAAATGAAAACACTTTTAGAACAATTAATCCCACTTGGGATACCTTCAATGCAGTCACTCCACATTTATTGATGTGTTTTCAGAGCAAAGCAGAAACACACTAGTATTGGGTTAATTTCTTTGTTGGTATTTTCCATCCCATAATCCTCCAATCAGATTAGATTACATTAGAAAATAACTAGACTAGATTATTTAAAAGATTCCTTTCTAAAAAAGTAATTTCAGTGAACGAACAGATAATTCTTCATACATTTTTCTTAAAAATAATAATAAAATAGTATACCTACAGGATGAAATAAGAGGCTAGAGGCTGACTGATGGCTGAGTTACCATTCCATTTGTTAGTAAATATCTGTTATTTCTGTTATGTAGCCAAAAGGAAGTCAATCATTGCAAATGAAGAAATTTAAGTTTATATTTATTATGTATATTTTCACCTTCAGATAATTTCATTTAGATAAAAGAATATCTGGTAGAGAACTGTTCCGAAGCATATTTAGCATAATAATTCAGCCTACCCAATGGTACATCTACTTGTCACATCTTTGGCAGCAATAGTGCCTCTCTAGTTCCAATCCTCACTGGGCTCCCAACAGTATTTTTTCCCCCCATCAGTATTAGATTTGGTGCTTTGATGTATCGCAGAATGTTTGATTTCTTTTGTTTTCACATTCCCAAACCCAGATGGCACTGGATACTTGTAATCTTCTCTCCCCCCTTTTCCAATCCAGGATGAGCATAGTCACTCATCTCTTGTACTGGAAGTGTCAGATCAGGAAGCAGAACCAGCTCATCATAATCCGTTTACAGCAATGCCTAAAGTGGTGACTGTAACAAGATCAGCCAGTGGCTGGGAGGTTTGGGGGTGGGTGGGTGAGAGAAAAAGGACTTAGAATACAGGATCAGATTATAGAACCTCACTTAATGCCACCCTTCTTCAGGCACTATAACCTGGAAATACAAGTGAATGATGCGATACAGCTAAATCTCAATGAAATCACCAACCTCAAACATGATCTGGCTTGCACTGAGGAGAAGATGGTGTATCAATCTTATGAGAGGTCACGGGATGTCTGGGTAAGAGATTGCTTAACTAAATGCACGGGTGCTATGTACAATATTGTTCTAGGAACAAAGAACAGGACATTGGAACAGGTTGCATGTGGCTATCTTGACAGAGTGCATAGAAATGGAACAAAATCAGAATTTGTAATATCCCATAGGCTATGACAACTGTCTTTAGAGAGAGCAGTGTCTTTTTGCAATAAGAAATGAAGGTTGCAAAGACTTTTAGGATGTAGGATGTAGGGTGTCAGAAAACTCAGAGGATGCAAGATTATAGAACGATGCTATGAGTGGTACAAGCACTGGCACTATTGTTTTGTCTGTTGATAGGGTCACCATGACCCTGCTTTTGCACATACTGCAACACCAGCGTGCTAGCATTAGTAACACACATAAGTGGGATCTACAACAAAATATTGCATTGTGCCTTCCCCTTTTGTACCAGTCAGCATTCTATGACCAATGAGCATAGTATTACTTGGGTTGTTTCAGAGTCCCCTCAACATTTTCCCTCTAAAAGTATTTCCTCTCTGTGCATTTGTAAACCCTGGCAGAACATGTTGGTGTCTGTCTTTCTTATCTAGATAATGTCACTTGGGTTACCCAGGAGCCAGAAAACTGATCTTCCTCTTTGCAGATATTAATAGAGCCATCAAAGAATTAGACCATGTGAACCTGCAAATGGCAGGTGAAAAATAGCATTGTGGAACTCCACCTGGGATTAACTAAATCAGTGTCTGGAAACTGGCTGGTCTTTTTCCTGACCTTTTGTCTTTTCCTTGTCTTTGTGGTAGGAGGTGCTCGATTCCTACCAGACCCGGCTTGCCAAACTGGAGCTGCAGCAGCAAGCCCAACAACAGGAGGCAATGGAGATGCCCCAGGCGAGTATGTATAAGCTTTATGGACAGCTCATGAACCTTCTATTGACCATAGCTGCCATTATCCTGGTGTTTTTTTCAACAATTTCAGCTTTTATAGTGCCTCTTCTGCATACTCGTATGCGGGCCATATCCACTCTCCTTGTGATCACCATCATAACTCTTGCATGGAATTACTTCCCTGACATTATTGAGTCAGAATGGAAAACATGGCTTCCTTCATTTGGATAGTCAGACAACATTGGCATCAATATTTCTGTACCTATGCTGCAGCTTCTCAACAATATAACTATTTATTTGTTTATTAAAATTAAAAAGTAGTCTGTCTTTCTGTTCTTTCTTTTGTCCTTGATTGTTTCTATAGCTATGAAGAACTAAATTAAAAAACTGCTTGAAAAACAATTCCACGTGACAATCCACCTCTGAATTCTAGCATCCCAGATGAGTTGAAAAACATTGCAAGAAGCTTGAGGATTGGCATTCATATTTGGTGTGGAGGTTCAACATTTGGAGAGGAAGAGAGGAACATGTGCATGCACATATGTTATGCATATGAAAGCATGATTGCACATGAAAGAAAATAAATGGAATTTATTTTAAATCCTTGTACTCTTGTTTAAGCTATTCAGCCCACAATTTTTGGTACCTGAGACAGGAAATCCTACTGCATTCTAACTAACAACAGAAACTATATCCTTCAGTGCTCTTCTCATTCAGCTGATACATCAGTTAAAGTTTGCATAGGAAAATTTCTCAAAATGTTCTATCTCATTGCTCAGTTTTGTTTCTTTTATACTTTTCTGCTGTCATACTTTTCAGCTTGAGCTAGCAGTTTCGCTCTGCTTGATTTCCACAGATAGTCATTATCAAAAATTAAAATTACATTGTTTGGATATTTCCCTTTTCCCACTAATCCACAGTCATTATACTGGCACCTAAGGCAAATTCCCACCTGCCTGGATACATTTCAAGCAATATACACTGTGGGCGAAATGTAGTGTTTTGCAACATCATTTGTAAGATACAAACTCAGCTTTTATACAGAATATAACCGTTTTTGTACATTAATTTATTCAGTCTCACTGCTGTAGAGTTTTTAAAAATAATTTTACCCATTGCATTTCTAGCTAAATATCCCATGGAACATGGGTGATTTTAATATCAAATACTATGTACAGAGTGGGTCCTGTCGAGCCATGCTGAGGAGATATACAGAGCTCTGGGATGGCCAAAGTGCTACGGCAAAGTCTCATTTATGATTTCTGCCAGAATTGTTTCCTCCTGGGCAGAGCTAGAAATCAGTATCTCCAAACCTGCTGAGACACAGAAATTGCAGGGAACAACTTCATTCTCCAGCCTCCTTTCAATGGACTCCCTGCACTCAGCCAAACATTTCGTAAGAAAGGTAGAGCAAAAGATAATCAAAATAGAACTGCTGTGGCTTATGTCTAGTTTATCACCTTTTGTGGATACATCAAACTATCTACCCATTTATAGGAAGTGGCATCTTGAAAATGAGTGGATTCTCTATAAAAAATATGGAATAGACCTGCTTCACAAAAGTCATAAACTTTTCACTGGAGCTCCCGTTGTTCTGCCTCTCTTGCAGTCCGAAGGATAAGTGAAAGATTAATTAAAGATACAGTGATAAGGGATGAGCATCAAAACAACCCCTGAAGCCCAGGAAAGTTTCAGACTGATGGAATATTTGAACATAGAGATATGAACTTTTCATTGCCACCCCTAAACAATTCTGAAAGGAAAGTGGAAACACCTCCCTCTCCCTAGGAGAAATAGAAGCACCCAACCTGGGTCACAGTCTTAAGTCCAAGCAACAGCTTTGTGCAATAGCAGCCCAATATGTTAGATATTCATAGGGATTCTATTAAGAAAGAGCTCTTATGCTGGTGATACAGAAGAGTTAGAGGCCGATGAGACTTCAGTGCGGGAAGTAGAGGAAAGTTCAGAACCATCATCCACTTTCTTGCCAAAGAGCTGCATTATGCAATTACGGAACTGCCAGGAGATAGAGAAATGTCAATAGCATTTACAAGTTCTACTCTTTTTCACCACATACAACATAATCCCCAAATGACATAATCCACATCCCCAGTTGCTTTCTGTTCATTAGTCTTAATCTGCCCGCCTTTTCCATTCCAATAATTTCTAGCTATTCCATTGGAGCCAGAGCAAATTACCTGTCTGTTCATGAAGACATAGATAATTGGGTTGTAAATGGTGGCGCTTTTTGCAAAGAAGGCAGGCAGGGAAGCTGTCAAGGGGTGAAAGGCATAGCCTGGATTGGCAACAGCAAAACAGGCAAAAAATGTATATGGTCCCCAGCAGACAATATAGGCAATGATCATGACCACTACCATCCTTGACACTTCCTTCTCTGCCTTTTGTGTTGATTCTGACTCCTTCTGCTGGGCTGCAACCTATGAGAGGAAAGAAAGAAGTAAGGTTAATAAGATAGATCTCCAATCCCTAGGCTATGATTTGGAACAAGAGAGAGAAAAGTGTTTACCGTAGAAATCGGATCCAGATTAAATTTGTATGTGGATATCCTTTTATAGGTAAAGTAATGCAAGTGGGAGTATGGAGAAGATTGGGAGTCATTCTTAGCAAAGGCCTTATTAGGAAACAGATTAGCCAGAGGACTTTTATAGAAGTGGAGATCATACTAGGGGAACTAGCTAGGTATACCATTGATAGTGAGGAGATTTTATTGTTTTGCAACGTGATTAAGGGTTTTCAAGTACAGTGACAGAATTGGGGCTCCATTAACAAAAGATTAATTCTCTATATAGCTCTCAGTTAGAGACTCTGTAGCAGTGATACTTTAATTTGTGATTTATAAGGAAGAGCATTCCAGTCACAAGGGGCATAAAGGTGGGTGCTAAAGGAAAAGGAAGGATACAGGATTTCTGTGATATAATACAATGTGTGTATTTACCGCACGGATAGCCATCCACACTTGCAAGTAGCAGAAGATAATGATGCTCAGGGGAGTTATACAACAGGTAATCATCAGGACAATCATGTAAGATTGGACACCTAGCTCTTCACTGCCACTGAATACATCTGGACCACATGATGTTTTCAGACCATGGGGCCAGTATCTGGTTGGGAGGAGAAGAAAGTCCTTTTTAATTTGAGATTTGAATAATCTTTTGAGCCCCTCTTAGTGTGTTTTACATTTGTTCACATAAACAAATCAGAAGAAAATCTGATGCCACACAACATTCTGACCAAGTTAGATTTGACATACACATGACAATGTAGTTGCATTCAGAATTGCTTTAGGCTTCAGCATCCAAATATTCGTGTATAGATTTCCTGTTCATTCTTCATCTCATAAAAATAAATGCCAAATGCAAGATTTAATAACTTGTAGATTAAAAAAGATCAATGACCCACATAACCCATTTCTCACTTAAAGGAAGAAAGCCAAATCATTGACTGTTCTCTATCAACATTCTTGATGAAAGCTACCCACTCTTTGGTAAACATACACATATGGCTATTTTTGTAGTTATGTTGGAAAGGAGCTGAAAGTTATGAGAGTTTAATCCAACACATCTGGTGGACATCACCCTGCTCCTTAGTTCCCAGTGGTGCTGCTCTGTACCATTCCCTCCTTATACTTACCTACTCCAGCCAAACATTGGTGGTGCTGTCCAGGAGCAAGCCCATATCCAGGAGAAGAAAATGCCACCAAGAGCCATTTTGGCATCAAACTTGACATTTCCAAAAGGTTTGCAAACAACAACCCAGCGCTCCCAGGAAATAATGGCCAAAGACCAGAGAGCTGTAATGCCTGGGAAGGAAGAGCAGAAGAGGACAATAATAAGGACATAGCTTTAATAGATATGTGTGAGTGTTAATTACAGTATATGTAATCTATCATTACATTACAGACATTCAGTTTCTCACTTGCTAAAACAGGAATATAAAACAGCATCAAGGGTCAAAAAGCTGAAATGGTTATACTGGAACCTTTACTAAATGTTCTGCCAGATGTGTCTTGGAATGCATGGGATTAATAGAAGGGAAGCAAATCAGGGACATGGAGGAAAAAGGAGCAGCATGATGGGTGATCTATGAGGACAACAGGATTATAGGATGTGCTTATATTAGGGGGAAGAGGATAAAAGTATGACCTGGAGAGAAGGGATTGGGGTAAAAAGGGATTAATCAGAAAACATGATGAATAAGTACTTCTTACCACAAGCAGAGACAGTATAACCCTCTATAACACACAAAGGATGGCCAAGGACGAAATAGCCAAAAAACTGGTTGATGACACTGATGGTGCTAGCAATAACTGTTTCACCCAAATCAGCGATAGCCAAGTTCACCAGAATCCAGTTGAGCGGATGCCGTAATTTCTTGAATTTGGCTGTAGCCACCAATACCAAGCCATTGGTAAAGACTGAGGCAATGACAACAAAGACCATCCAGAGTGAAGTTAAGTTGTAGACCCATCGTGGTGCAATATGATAGTTTGGACCTTCAAAAGGGTCTGCCAGAAGATGGACAAAATTAAATATTAGGAGGATCTCAGCAAGCATAATAGTGTCTTGGACAAATCAATCAGGGATGTACACTGCCAAAATAAGACAAAGTCTCTATTCTTGCAAATAACTCAAGAGCTTATCCATAGGAAAGTATATACTTCTTTACAACTTATATTATACTAAGACCATCACCATCATTCCCATCCTTCTACTGGAACCACTTTTGAGCCCTTCCTTATCCAAAAACATTCCAGCGGCAACTGGCAAATTCCATTTCTGGGACCCCTCTTCCAAAGGCATTTAATTGCCAAGGTTGAAGTCAGCTGCTTACTTCCCCTGTTCTTGTCAAATTTTATCCTGTGAACCAACCTTAGTCTGCCCTCCTACCCCAGTTCTGAGGCCCCTGCCAAACTCACCACGGGTATTGTTGCTGTTGGTGTAAGCAAATACAGTTTCCCTAGTAGTATCTTCATCATCGTTGCGCCGCCGAGCAGCAAATACTGCCACATTCCAGGCCTCTGTCATGGCCTTGGTTACTGTCTTCCCCCTTGTTTGCGTTTCTTGCCCTCTCCCTTTCTCCCACGTTCTCTTTCTTCTTCAATTCTCTCTTTCTTGTTGCTCCTTCTCTCAGTCCCTGATCAGCCTCTCCCATCCAATAGTCTATGCTAAGGTTCAAAGTCCTACCAATTTATATATCTACCCCCCCACCAG